CGGGCACTGCCCGCCCAGGTGAGGCCGCAGGCGGCGGGGGCAGCGCTGGGGGCTGTGAGTGTGTCAGTGTGTGATTAGTGCGAAGAGGCAGAACAGCAAATCGCGGATCCGTCGCTGTGTGCCGCCTGTTGTTGTGCCTGTGGCTGTGTACAACCACGCAGAGGTGTTACTAAGCTCTGCGGAATAGTTGTTGTCCCGCACACCTCTCCCCAGGCACACCCGAATTGGAGTCGGAGCAGGTGGAGGTTTGAGGTTTTCTGAATGCTTTGTAAAGCTGAATCACTCTAATTTATAAGACCCTAAATAGAATAGGAGCTGATGACAGATTTTCTGAAAGGAGGATGTTGAATTAAAATTACTCCTTCGGCCATAGCTATGTTACAACAGAAACTGATTTTTATGCTGTTTCCTGTTATTACACTGACCCTAAATGAACAGTTTTCAGTCTTTGTGGTGAGTGCCATAGACTGATGGGAACATGTATAGTTGAAGACACTGTGTGATTTCTGTGGTCACTTACTGTTGGCCTGTAGTTTCAGATAAATTGTTCTTTTGTGCTGCATATGTACTAGAGCAAAGTAACCTCCATTAAGAATCCTGGTACATGTCACCATCATGACCAAGGATATTTGTGAAGAAAGGAGTATTTCCCAGCCATGTCATGTGAGGTGGTGCAGGAAAAACATGGTTGTAGGGAAGATTCAGTCCTACTAGTGGCTTATCAGATTCAGTCCTTCTAGTGGCTTATCTGATTTGTCATGAGTATGACTATGTCCAGCCTGATCAACAGGCTAATGAGTATTTGCCATTGTTGTCCTCCTCAGAAATTCAACCAAAACTGGTTATTTTCCCCAGCAATCTCAGCTAGTGCCTTTGTAACTGTCCCAGGTTGCAGTGTGGGGGTATCCATGATATGTATTCTATTATCATCTCCACAAGCTGTTAAAGCAGGTGGGGCAGTGATCATTATCACCTTGTCCCTCCCTCAGGGCAATCCTGATGGCTCCCTCGGGGGCAGTCTCTGATTAAGGGGCTGTCAGGGACCCATGCAGGACACATCCTAACAGTGATCCTTATCCCTTGTCCCAGCCAAGCATTCCCACAGGGATATAAACTGGGGATTGGACCAGCACAGGGAGCCCTTTGCCTGCTGGATTCCCAGAGGACAGGAGCTGCTGCTGGACCTTCAGGAGAGAACCGGATCTGCAGGATCACTGCTCCAACAAACCCATCACTCCAGGAGGACTGCAGCCACCATTCAATCGGACTGCTACTACACCCTGACTGACAGGGGGTCAGGTTACTTTCTGACTCTGTCAGGTTATTTTTTTTTTGTGTACTCTTGCATTTCTGTTGTTTTGTTGTGTTGTTCATATTAAATTGTACTTCTGACTCAGAGTCTCTCACCCATTTGCTTTTCAAACCAGCACAGTAACTTTCTCTACCCCTAGTAGTAGTGGAGGGGATATGGTGTGAAATCTGCTTATAAATGCTCAGGCATTCTAGCAGGAGGTTTCTATCAAGAGTCCAATCAATCCATGTCTTCTCATTTAAATATGTCATTATAAGAAGCTTTTTGGTAAATTTATCTAATTCAAGATATCGTTGTGATGACACAAGTTTGATGTGGGTGCCACAAGAGATGTCAATGTCCTGTATTTGTGTGTCACTAGAGTTTTAAAACATTTTGTTCCCTTTCTTTTTTGTAGCATTACTCTAACAGATCACCAAAATGAGTGAAAAGGAAGATCAAGGAGATCCAGCAGATGCGGGTGATTGCATAGAAAGTGCAGAATATGAGGATGATTTTGAAAAAGACCTGGAATATCGATCTAGTCAAGAAGAAGCAGAAAACCTTGATGGAGAGGTATTTGTTACATTAAGTGCTAGTTGCCTTATTTAGAAGACAAAATTCAGTAGTATTTGGAATCATAAGCCCAAAATTCAATATAATTTGAAATGTGTAGGTACATTCACTGAATTTTGACAAGGAAGGTTATTTGGAATTATAGTGAAAAACATTTCAGTGAACTGGTTAGTTTGGTTGCCTTAAAACAGAAAAGTCATTGAAAAGAATATGTTTGTTTCTAAAGTACTTCTGAGTGTTTGTGCAACACTTGTTCTGTTTTTATGCTGTCACTGATCATTTTACAGGTTAGTTAAGCTTTGTGGAACATGGAGAAAATGCACAAGAGAGTTGTTAGTGCCAAAAAAAGCTGTTAGTTATGACATGCACTATATTTGGAAGCCTGGTTTAGAATTAGGGTACATAGTACTGCTTTGCTCTCTTGCTTTGCTCTTTCTTTGACCCTGTTCTTTGTTGGGAGAAGAGACTAGTTTGTTTTAATTTTTTCAGAATCCTGAAAACGATGAAGAGGATATTGAAAAACAAATTTTTAAAGCTGCAGACAGTTTTGAGGAAGTCAGTGAGGAAGCAGAAGAAAATCTCAATCAGCTTTCAGAGGCAGATATCAATGAGCAAGCCAGTGAAGAAAATTTGGAATCCAGGTCTGATACTAAACAGGAGGACTGTGGATCTGACATCGATAGTGAAAGCTCCATCCAGGAATCCGAGCTGGAAAACCAGCAGGAACTGGATGAGGAAGAAGATGAAGAAATAAAGCGTTACATCTTGGAAAAGATTGAAGAAGCCAACAAACAGCTGGAGAATCAGGCTCCTGTGGATCAGAACAGAGAACGGAAATTAAAATTTAAGGATAAATTGGTGGATCTTGAAGTTCCTCCTCTAGAAGATGCTGAAGCTTGCAAAACTGACCTTGCAAATGGAGATGATGTTTCAAGTGGGCTCTCTCAGTTGCATATTTCTAATGATGTGGGACAGGAAAGCACATCACTTTCACCACGTGCTGGCAAGGATGAGGAAAAGACAGATGTTGAAGTCCTAGTGGAAAAAGATGGGAAGTTTGAACTCTTAAGTTTACGTGATATTGAAAGTGAGGGCTTTTTGCCCCCAATAAGTGTTTCGTTTACTGATATTGAAACTCAACATAAATCTCCAAAATCCTCACACTGCAGTTCTTTTGGCACTGTCTCTCAAATGGAGGAAATACCTCCAGCAGACCCAGGAGCACATTCTTTTCCTCCTGGTGAAGAAGAGTGTGAGTACTGCCCTAAGCCTCCACCCAACCCTAAACATCGTCCAACTTCTGCTGTCAATGTTGCAAGAGGTCTGGGAAAACAGAAGACTCTGCAGAGAGCTCAGTCTGCAAATGTGCCCGTGAGAAGCTCCACCTACTGTCTTTCTCCCAGGCAAAAAGAATTACAGAAGCAGTTAGAACAAAGGAAGGAAAAACTGAGGAAAGAGGTAAAGATATAGAGACCACAAGTAAATCACAGTGACCATCCTGTTCCTCTGCTTCACAGAGACCACATGCTCAAGGCATTTACTCCATTTTTCCATCGTAAAAGAGTCAGCAATAGCAATAATAGTAATTCTTTGGTGTGTTTGTATAGAATCTCTCAGAGCTCCTTTCCTACAGTGTGGCATAGGATCATGCCTTGCTCAGAGGAGAAATTAAATACTTATTTAATGTACCCTTCATAGATAGGCCTTCTGGTATATTGTGCTTACTGCTTTTGCTTACTGACTCTCTCTACCTAAATTCCATTACAGTTTGACTCTTTCTGGAGTGCAGCACATGGTGTTGCATCTCCACAGTTTGCAGTGCAATGCAGGAACTGTACATTAACCACAGTAACGCAGGTGCACATTTGGGTGCTTGTGAAGTATCCTATGGGAGAGTGTTTAGTCATAACAGATGTGCACTGGAAAGTGATTGTGAGAACCCTTTTAATTCTCTCAGCACCTTTTTCAGAAAATAAGTATGTAATAGAGAGTCAGCCTCTGACTGTAACAGGAACCTCAGAAATCTTTACCAAAGATTTTAAATCTTAGATGTTTTTCTTCTCTTTGCATTATGATGATCCAGCTACAAAAAGGTAACTTGCTATGTATGTTGCTCTACAAAAAGAGCATGAAGCACCTACCATTTTTCTGTGCCATGATGTACCAAGTAAGCTGGCTAAGTAGCTGCTAAGGTGGCAATAGGTCTAGCTTGCTTTATTTGAAAAGGTTACTGAGGCTTAGCTCAGTAATGAGGGGTATGGAATGGGATGATGTGTTTTCTCTGTTACACACAAGACTAGGTCTCTTGACACCACACTCTGTATATTTAAAAGAAAAGGTAGTGTGGTGGAGGTAAGGAAGGTTATTTTCCCAAGAGTGTGTGCTAAATCTCTTCCTCTGTTGGCTGACTTACAAAAAGGTAAGAGTATGTTACCATATTTCTTCATCCTTGAATGGAGTTCTTCCATTCAGTGATGGATTTCACAGGCATGAAACATTTTTTGACATTATGGGAATCCATCTGCTTCATTTGGGTGGGGTTTCTTCCATTTCAGTAACTGACAAATTGTAAATTTGGAGGATAGTCAAAGCCATGTGTAGGTGGGAGGAATGTCATCTGTTAGCAAGCAGAATAGATTTCTCCAGGTGTTGAAATAAGTCAAAGAGAGTAAATCCTGGTAAAAATTATCCTAAACAGCTTTCTGAAGCATTAATTAAAAACTTCTCTCCTCCGTATGGATACTAATCCTTATCTTAGGATGCTAAAGCTAAAATGCAATTAATAATTAAACTTTATTCAATTTTTGTAACAATCATTTTCTCATGTAAGCTTGAAAAAAGTGTAAAGCTATTAATACTCTTTCAGTAAGTACATTACAACTTCATGTGCGTAAAAAAGTCCTTATTTATAAGGTAGTGCCTGCAGTCCATAGAGTTTAGTGGTCCATCAAGCCTGAGAGCTGCATTCATGTTTAAAATGCATCAGTTTAAGGTGATTTTAGGCCAGTCAGAGCTATTGGGCAGACTTAATTTTAAAAGTCTTCACCTGCTGCTATTGAAATATCTTTGAGTTGAGATGTGTCATGGAAACAGAGGCAAAGCACGGAAGGGATTAGACTGAAAGTATCTGAAGGGAACACAAACTGCAGAAATCCTCAAACTGATTTCTAGAAGTTGTTCCAGCTGTGGTGCAGCTGCTTTGAGTATACTTTGAATATTCCTGGTTTCATCAGTATTTTAATGTGTCTCTCATGTAATTCAAATGGCTTATTTATTGCCTCTGAAGGTCTTTGCAGGTTAAGATGCTCCTCTTAAAAACTAAGCTTATTCAATTCTCATTCCATTTAAGGAAGAAGAAAGGAAAAGGGAACAAGAAGAACAGAAGAGAAGAGAGAATGAGATGGTTTTCAAAGCTTGGTTACAGAAGAAGAAAGAACAAGTGCAAGAAGAAAGGCGAATTCGCCGTGCGAAGGAGCTAGAAGACTTGAACAGCAAAGTAAGATCTCCGTAATGTGGAATTGGGATCTATAGTGCTCCTGTTAAAGAGGAAAACCAAATTCCAAGCCTGTGTTCTTAGCTAAGTGTATGAGCATTTACAGTGATAGGAAATCATCTTGTTAGGTTGTTTTCAGTGAAGAGCTAGATAGACTTGCACGTTCAGGATTGCTCTGTGTGGCAGGGTGGTTTGCATTGCAGAAGTGGCATACATGGCCTTAATAGCTATAAAATCACAGGGCATCCTGTGATGCTCCTATTTTTTCAGGAGAATGGCTTAATTGAACCCTGCAGTGAACAAGCAGCCAGAAAACTCTTTAAAGTGTGTTCCTTACCATCAGAACTTGTTGGCAGGCAGTTAATGCACATGACCTGATCAAGCCCTGGAGATTCAGATGCTGTTCTGCCTTGCAGTAATGGACTTGAAAAGCTAAATTCTGTATTTTTTTAAGTGTAGCACTTTGATTGCTTGGTTTTTTTCATGGCAGATTAGCTCTATTTGGCTTATAAAGTGTGTTTCATGGAGGGGAGGTGCCTGCAGAGTTATAAAAAATATTATAATGTGATTAATATAAAGGTCATTTAATGATAAGCCTGGTATATACATGTCTTTTTTATTAAACAGCAGAAGAACAGGAATCCAGAAGAAGCCTTCAAGTTATGGCTTAAGAAAAAGCACCAAGAACACATGAAAGAAAAACAGATAGAAATTCTGAGACGCCAAGCTGAGGGAGTTGTCTTTTTCCAAAGAACAGAGGAATGCAACAGAGCTTTTAAAGAGTGAGTAGGGTCATTCCTAGGGAACTGTATTTGAAGCTTTTGTAGTCTATCACCTTAAGAGTGTAGTTATCTTAGGGTACATCTTTACTGCTGAAGTCCTTATTGTTTTGGTGGGTTTTTTGCATGAATATGCCCTCATAAACTTACACCCTAGCAGAAATACATCCATTCCTTGATGGTTTTTGTTCACTGTTGTGAAGTTATGTGTTAGAACCTGAGCTGAAATAGTGAATTGATTTTGCTGGAAAAGGGGGAGATCTCCCCTAATCCTTGTTCTCTGTTCTGGAGCAGGCTTGGGTTTATTTAGGCCATTAAAGAAGCAGAAACTTAACCCAGCTCAACAAAATGGGGGAGGTAAAGGGGTGCAGGAGAACTGGGGTGGAAAAGTAGTGCTTCCTGTGTTTGGGTGTGTAAAGCTTTTAGACTGTCTCAGCCATTACACTCGACTTTACCCTACAGGACAGGGTAACTCCAAGTGGGGACAAGTCTCCTCTGAATGGATGATACAGAACTTTAAATTGCATTCGCCAGTACTTCTGGTCCTCTTTCTCTCTCCACAGATGGCTAAAAAGGAAGAGAGAAGAAAAACGAGCAGAAGAACTAGCTGCTAAAGAGAGAGCAAGGCAGCGTAGATTAGAAGCCAGAAGAGCTAAACAGATGCAGAACATCCACTATATTTAGTTACAGTTTACAGTTTGGTGTAAGCACAGAGTTCTTGATGACAATCCTCTAAATTTTATGGATTGAGTTTTTGCTCTTTACAGCTACTGACTTTTTGTGATGTTTTTAAAGCTTTCGAGTGAGTTAACAATAACCTTCACTGACAGTGGTTTTAGTACCTATTTATTTGTAGTTTTCTTGAAAAGCCTGCTTTTATGCATAACTCAGGGATCTTCTTGGTTGAACCAAATTTAAATGAGATCTATATATGAGGGTGGCAAATACACATTCATGTCTTTAAAAGGCACTTTATACTCAATTCCACCATGAATTCCTGGATGCAGGCTGTTTTGCTGGATTAATATTGCTGTTTGCTTCTGATTGTGATGAAGACTGTATAAGGTGTTACGTGGTTGGAGAGTGATGTTTATTGTACCACTTCTTATTGATCTGTTGACCAGCTCTAGACCAGACAACTATTTTCTTTTAGGTTCCTGGAAAGTGGTCATTGAAGGCTAATATGTAGGTCAAGGTGCAACAGGTTTTGAAACTTTTTTCTGTGTCATATTCAGTAGTTTTCTATTCCATGGAATTACAAACTTCTGCAAATTTTGACCTTTTCCACTACTAAGGAAGCTGTATATGTGTCCATGTTTGATAAATTTATTATAATAAATGACATCACCTTACCCAGCTAAATTGTTAACTCTTGTTAGAGAACATGCTGAGGTCACTCATGAAATCATAAAGAGGAGGAGCATTCTGTCCACTTGTATGTCCAACAGATTTCATGATCCTGGCATTGTTCTTACATGTTTTTACATTCCAAGTGTTTTCTGGCAGTCCTTCAACAGATGGAACTGTAGTAGATGCAAAGCAAATTCACCATTAGTATTCTACTCTTACCATTTTGGAGCTAGTTCTGAGCAGATTGAGAGAGTACTGGTGTTGGACTGGAGGGTGCTGTGTGGCAGCTTTTGCTGGTATGGATAAAAAAACATGGATGCAAAATAAAAATTTCACCTGCTAATGAGCAACATGAGTGACTTCCTCTTTCCTGTACCTTCCCCTGACACCAAGGGCAAGAAATGCTTCTTGTGTCTAGCCAGCAAATCCAGGGGGAAAGTTTGCAAAGGTTCGTGCACATTATCTCCCTAATTGTAGTAAGCTACAAAAGCAGCACTTCTTGGTTCATTAGCTCAGACCAGCAGAGTGAAGGGCTTTACAGTTCAATGTCATAATTCCTCTTATGCTGCAGAGAATCCAGGGTCAGAAATATCACTACACTAAATCCAAACTGCAACTTGAAAGCAAGCCAAGAGAGTTTATTGTAGCTTTTTTTCATGCAAACCAAAGCATATCCAGCAACAGCAAGAACTTGTAACTTACATATTCTGATCACAGTATGAGATTCAAAGGAAAACTGGGTAAAAGCAACCATTTCAGAAACCCTTTCCTCAAACTACACAGCAACACATGGTAAATTTGGGAGTGACATTAACTTATATAGGCTTCTTCAGATTTAGCAGATTATCTGCTACAAGTTCTCTTCAAACTTATGTCAAGAACTTCAAACCTAACTGAAGATTATAAAACCATACACGTAAAAAAATACTTTTTTTTTTAATACTGCCTGTGCAAACTTAGTGTTACTCTTCAGCTTCCCTAACACTTGGGAAGAGCTTGGGCAAGGACTGAGTACTAATGCTAGGCCAGGTTTCAACACTGTACTGAAGAAGTACATCAGTCTGCCTTTGCTGAGGATCAGCTATGCAGCAGCTTCACTCTAGAAGCTGAAACAGATTTAAAATCCATTATTTCAGCTTTATGGAAACACAGGAATAATCTCACCCTGCACAGTTTTCTAGAAACCATTTGAAATCAGTTACTATTTATATATTCTAGCTAGAGTTCATTCCAGCTCCTTCCCCTCTTTGCCAGGAGGGCTGACACTGCATATGCTCTTGGTTTCAGAGCTTACAGCTATGAAGAATCATTGCATATATTCCTTTTTAATACTAAATTAAAAAGGCTGAACATAGACCTGGGGACAGTTCATCATCTTGGCTAAGATTTTAAAAATCCATTACTTTCTTTAATTTAAACATAACCTATCAGCACTTCGTTTACTTTGGTATAGTTACATTTCTATCTCCCTCTAAAGGGAAATTCATTAAGATTTGCTGATAAGACTGGTCAAGGGCATCTCTATGCTCTACAAACTGGACCAGCATAATCTTTTTGGTCTTGCCTTTGTAGAATAAGGAGCTTTCCAGACTGAAAAGTAGTAGAAATATGCCAGAGTCTACAGAAATCCTGTCAGTCCCTAACTTCAAGAGGTACAGAACCAGAAACTGCACAATTTCCAATGTTAAAC